AATAGTAACTCTAAAATTTAAAATTAAATTACATTTCTTGTAGTTTTGTCTAAAATCAATTATATTAAAAATATTTTATATATATTTTATATATTATAAATATTTTAAAAAATATTAAAAATGATGTAAATAAAACGATTATTGGAGTAGAAAAAAATTATAATATAATAATATAATTAAAAAAGTGAATCTTATATCAAATTTTCATTGTATAAAAGTGTTCAGACAGATATTTCAGTTTTAGTTTTTATTGATCATATTATATATGATTTATTGAACATTTTAAGTCCAAAGTTTGTACACGCGTGACTGAATGCGTTTCTTAAAAACCTTGAAACTAGTTTTCGAAAATTGTAAATTGTGCTTCCACTGTAATATACTTTAAAGTTTCGGAACAGTTTTAACAGGAAGCTGAACGCACCGATCCGTCAGACGCACTCGCTCCTACTTTATCTCCCACACTGTTCCAGCAAACCTCAAAGACTCCTCCGGTTCCTCTGTAGCTGTTCACCAGCGCGCCGCTCTGAAGACAAACACATAGCATCGTCATCATCATCTTCATCACAGCTGTGTGTGAACGAGCGCTGCTGTACTGACCAGCGTGTCCCAGACGTGAACGCATCTGTCGAAGGAGCCGCTGGCGAGGAGCTTCCCGTCCGGACTGAAGGCCACGCTGTAGACCGGCTCCTGGTGTTTAGTGAGCGTGTGGACGCAAACGCCTCGCTCCACATCCCATAATCGCACCGTCGAGTCGAAAGAGGCACTGAGGAGCATAAAGCAGTAGCATTTCATCAGGTTAAAGAGCACGTGAAATAAACACATGAAGAGTTAAACTGTAGCCCTGTGTTGATATTGAGCATTTCTGCATTTGTTTAGATCGGGGTTTTTCAATATTTTAGATCCCACTTGAAGCGAGGCGACTGCATCCTAAAATATAAACAGCATCAATACGGCTTCTTGCCTGAAAAATGTATATTATAAATACGCCTAAATTACTATTTGGAAAATGTTTTAATTTCATCCGTTAAGTTAAATTATTATATATTTGTTCTACTCACTATAGTACTGCATAGTTAATGTATCTTTTTTATTATTATTATATTTTTATTACAATCATTTTTAAATGTATTTTAATCTAATTTATTATAATCTGTTTTTCTATTTATTTAATCTAATTTCATAATACATTATTTATATATTTATTTTAATCTAATTTATTTTCATCTTTAAAATTTGTTTTAATCTAATTTAATATATTTAATCTAATTGTTATTTATTTTCCCTAATTTTTTATTAATTTATTTACTTTAATCTAATCTAATTTATTTTAGTCCTTTTTAAATGAATTTTAATCTAATTATCTGTTTTTCTATTTATTTAATCTATTTTCATTATACATTTATATATTATTTTAATCTCATTTAATATATTTAATCTAATTTTGTATGTACTTATTTTAATCTAATTATTTATTTTTCCTAATTTTTATTAATTAATTTATTTTAATCTAATTTATTTTAGTCCTTTTTAAATGAATTTATATCTAATGTATTATCAGTTTTTTTTATTTATTTAATCTAATTTCATTATACATTATTTATATATTTATTTTAATCTTTTAAATTTGTTTTAATCTAATTTAATATATTTAATCTAATTGTTATTTATTTTCCCTAATTTTTTTATTTTAATCTAATTAATTGTAGTCCTTTTTAAATTAATTTTAATCTAATCTAATTTAATTTAATCAATTTAATCTAATCTGTTTTCATTTATTTTAATCTAATGGTTATTAATATGATTCTTTTTTTATTAATTGATTTAATCATTTTGATTTTATTTTAAAATATTTCATGTTTTATTTATTTTTACCTATATGTTATTTATTTACTTTATTTTAATCTTTTTTAATTTATTTAAATCTGATTTTGTATTTATGTCTAATTTGTCAAATGTTTTATTAATTTTAATCTGACGTATTTTAATCATTTTAAAATGCATTTCAATCTAATCTAATATATTGAATCTCATTTTTATTCATTTATTTATTTTGTCTTAATTTATTTATTTTTATCTAATTTATTCGAGGCCGTTAGCAGTTAGCTCTCCCGGTGAGCAGGTACCTGGCTAGCAGGATGCTAGCGTTAGGATTGTTGCTCCCGGCACCTGTTGGGCTCCATTTGATCGTGTAGATCTCTTTGTTGTGCGCCTGAAGATTGTGAACGCATGAATCGTGCGTCATACTCCAGATCTGCCGTGAGAGAAATACACCAGCAATGTCTAAACTCATCATATTTAATATACATTATGCATTTGAAACCATATATTGGGACGTAACCCCTACCTTTAGCGTCATGTCATCTGAACAGGAAGCCAGCAGCATTCCCGACGGATCCCATTTAATGGCGTTCACCTCATTCTGCAAGCAAACAAACGTGTTCATCTGCTGTTCAAGCACAAGAAAGCCCGTGTGTTAGCGTGTGCTGCTCACCGTGTGCCCTTGAAAGGTCTTGAGCGGACGCTCACTTCCCAGGCGGCACACATGGATGCACATATCAGTGCTGCAGGAGGCGAAGGTGCTGTTGTTCTGCCAGTCCACGTCCAGCGCCGGAGCTGCGAGAGTTAATAAACACCACATCAACTTCACCATTTCATCTGATTAAACTATCATCAGACACTTCACTACAACCCGCCAAAATAAAGCAATAAGCCCCAAGAAGCCGTGGTTTAGCTGTTATAAATTCTCTGTTTACTGCTTTTATAAAACGGTTATTCCATATACGTAGTAAGGTAACAGAGCAAATAAAGTGTAATGATATTAATAAAAACAGTATTCTTCCACCAAACAATGTAGCTCCTCAGAAACTGTTGTGGTTGCTACAAAGTGGTTGCTGAGCAACACACATAAGTAAACAAAGGTGTATGTTACTTTGTAGAGTAATGTAACGCGGCTCAGCCAATCAGAATCAAGGACCGGAACTCTCCGTTTTATACTAAAAGTTCCATTTCACTATAACAGAATTATATTACTATTGTACTTATCAAAGGAATACTACACTATTGGTACTATTAAAACTTAATTTTTTTGAAGGAATATCGCACAATTTTCATCCATGTTTTAATTTTAACAGTAAACCACAGCACTTTGTTTGCCACGAAATAAAAGGAACGGTTAAAGATGAATTAAATTGTTAATGTTGTATGCCTTCATTTAACCGCCATCGTTTTTGATAATAAATCTGTATTAAATCCCAAAAAAGTTGAAACGGGCGATGACAGAATTTCTGTTTTTGTAAAAATGTCAATAAATTGTTACAGTTTTATGAATTCAACTGATTAGACATTGTTTTTGATTATTATTATAATTACTATTAATATTATAAATATGTCTAAATTATTATTTGGAAAATGTTTCCAAATATGAAATTATTATATTTCTTTCTACTTGCTACTATTAATTATTAATTAATATTATTATTTACTACTTAATCTAATTTGCATTTAAGCAATTTACATTTGTTTTAATCTAATTTATTATATTTAATTAAAATTATTTTAATCTAAAATATATGAATAAAAATAATGAAATAAATAATAAAAATTATTTAAAAAAATATTATTTAATTAAAATAGATTTAAACAAACAAAAAGTAAATAAATAAAACCATTCCAATGGAATCCAGAAAAATTAAAACCGAAAGAAAAAAAAAAAAAAAAGGTTTTGGGAATAAAACTAAATCGATTTCGTAGGCCTGCTTTTTAATAACTAAAAATTAATTTAACCGTTAAAACTGAACCCAGAAAATTTACAAAAAAATTACAACAGACAAAAATGAATTTGGGAAAAAATTAAATGGAATCTAGGAAAAATAAAGAAATAAAACTTATTCACAGGCCCTACATCCGGCTTTATAAATCTGAAAACAAATGCAAAACCTGGCACGTGTGTATTTTCATGAATACTTTCATCTGGAACGCAGAGCTTCATATTAAAGCTCCTGCAGGCTGTAAACTCACCAGAATGAAAGGGGAACTGCTGCTTGGCTTCACCTGTATGAGCGTCCCAAATGATTGTCATCTGCAGGAAGACGAAAGAGAAAGCACAGAAATAAAGGAACGATCACAGCGATTACATGAACTGTTGCTTCGGATAAAAGCCTAATAATGAGGGTTTAGATCCTGACCTTATCGACTCCAGCGCTCAGGATGCTGTTGCCTTTCTTGTTCCACTTGAGTGCAAATATGGGTCCTTTATGCTGGCCGAGTGTGCTGCTGAGATTACCTGCTCAACAGCAGCTGCTTTAATTAAAGCACACGCTCTCCAAATCTGATCAGAGCTCAGCGTTAGAGAAACCAGCTAACCTACCATCTTTTGTCCATATTCTTGCAAATCCATCATAAGATCCGGTTGCTAATAGAGTGCCGTCGCTCTACAGACAAAAACATAAACCGTTTTGTGAAAATAATTTATTTACCAATAAATTTCCATGACTTTTCCAGGTTTTTCATGACTGTACGAACCCTGAAATAAGCCACACACTCACCATGCTTTTCCTTAACATTGTATCCAGGGTCCAAAACTAATTTGCCAAGCGCCAAATGAGAGTAAAATTGACTAAATAAGTGCTATTAAATAGTACTAAAATAGAGTTAGTTAGTAAGATACATGGTTTAAAACTCAATGCCATTAAGAATCATCTGATCATCATTCTTATAAGATGAGAGATAGGAATAAGATATATATTTTAAGGAAATCATGGAAAAAAATAAACATTTAGTTTCATAGGCAACAAAAATATTTTGGCCAGTTAATTCTTAATGTACCTACTGTTAGCTGATATCAGTATATTAATTTTGTATATATATAAAAAAATTGCTACATTTATTTTTTATTTATATTTAAATTATTGAATATATATTTATATTACTTTAATTGCAATATAATGTAATTATATTAAAATGTAAATAATTTATTAA